TGTTTATTTTATTTTATTTTATTTTTTTTGGGAAAAGTAGATGTTCTCTTTATTTTATATTTTATACTTTCTGGATTTCATTTATTATCGCTCATCTCGGAAAAGGTGATGTAGTCATTATGTATTCTATTTTTCAATTCTACCATAATGATCACTGTGCAAAGAGATTGCATAGTTTTTTTGTTCACTATCCTCGGGATTTTCGATCAGTTTGTTCTTCGCATCCTTTCGTGTCGGGAGTGTCACCGCCACCGTTGGACTTTGGGAGACACCAGATGAGGTCGACCATAAAAATCCTCAACCCAATCCCATTTGTTTGTCCTTAGAAGGCAAGACTTTCCTGCTGGAATCCTTCATCGGGACCTTAGGGCGTGTTGAGGCCTGACGTGGTGGTCTAACATCCGAGCCACCATGAAGAGGGACTACCTCGTGAAGATCGAGATGGGTCCGCAGATGCTTAGGCCAAAATGTTCATGATCTAGAGGACGGGATGTGAATGACTCTCTTAGAGAGAAGTTCCTCAAGGCCACATCCAGATTGCCCGACAACAAAGCCTCCGTTTGTTGTTTAAGGATTGTATACTCCACCTTCTGTATATTCTTAAGGTGGACTACCTGACTCTTGTCAGAGACAAACTAATGAAATGTTGAAAGAGTGTTTGGAACCTTGAATCCTTGTAACATGGTAGTGTATGGGAGTGTTTTTACTGAAGAGCAACGGGAAAATAAGAGATTATGTACAGGGTCGATCAACCAAATTGTGGATCTAAGGGGAAATGATGTTTGATATTAAAGTACTACATTGCCGCCTTTCCATACGGATAAAGTAACAAGATGAGGAGTGCCATGAAAAGGTTCATCTGAATATCACCGTGAATCATTGAGGGACTTGGATGCAAGATGGAACTGTTGGGTTCGCCTGTACCATACAGGTTATACGTAGCGGAAAATTATGTTTAAGAAACAAGTATTTATCGTATAAACACTCAACCCATACGTACATATAGAGAATGCACGAATCGTCATCATTTAAAAACATGTAATAATACAAATTTTGATTTGTTATAAGTAAATTAAATTTACCTTTGTTCTTGAACTCCTTCAAAATTGACGATGAATGAGGAAATCAATTCCCGGTTTGGTAACGTCCACTTCTTGATGTTACTCGCTTTAGGAATCCAAATGTTTTCCCTCTAATCGTGTCCACCTTTTGAAATTCGGTTCCGTAATAGTTTCTTCGCTAGTAGAAACTACTCGGTTTTTATTCAATAAGTATAGAATATATTTTGAGGAGATTTTTACAAGAACTCTTTCTTGTTTTATATTTTGAAGAACACTTCTTCTTTTGTCTCTTTCTCAACTCTTGAAAAACTTAGCAAAACTTGGATTAAAATGAACATCATGTATGTCCATATTTATACTAAATATTTTAGTATAAAATAATAATATTTGGTGGAATATTTTCATAAAATATAAAAATTCTTCAAGAATATTTTCATAAAATATTCATTCTTGAATAGGACTATTCCCACTAAATATTGTATTAATAAAAATAAGATTAATTATGTAGAGTAGTTAACAACTCCAAACCACCATAATTAATATATTCTTATTAATATAAAATAATAATTCTTGAAAACAATTTTTCAAGACTTTATTATTTTAATCTTTTGTCCCATCTCCTCATTTAATAATCATATTATTATTTGGATTTGAAATTTAAAATCCAATTTTAAATTCCAACTATTTATTTAGTAATTCCATTAATTACTAAATTAATATCCAAAAATACAATTAATCAATCTAATTGATTAATTTAATATATTCCTTTAATTGACATCTAATCAAATTAGTTTTGTCAATTAATTCTAACTCTTTAGAATTACTATTTGAATTTTACCTTCATTCAAAAATTGGTGTGACCTTTTAGGTTCACAATTAATATTAGTAGTGGGCTTACAACTCTTTGTAATTTGAATTAATCTAATTAATTCTTATTCATGAAATTAACTCCTTAATTTCAAGAACCCACATATCATGGGAACATCTAGCAAGTAGCATGAATCTAGCATTAAGTGAATAGCGAGTAAACCTATTTCGATTACAAGTCCATACATTTAAAATCCTTTCGACATCCAATTTTCCGATTAAATCTTGGGATATGATTTTGTCGAAACCCAAATTGATTTAATAACTATGATTCCATTTCAAGTTTAGTAATTCGTTTATGAATCTCTATTCATCCCGCCTTGGCCAAGGACTTTGAATTACTAACTATGAAACACATAGGAAATTCACTTATCTTTATAAGTGTCGAATTCTTTGTTGGCCACTGACAAACTTCCATACATATTAATATAATACTCAAAATATCCCTTTATACGATTGTGCTAGCAATCAAAAGGATAACTCAAAGTAAAATATAATATGTACAAAGTTACCATCGTGCCTCAAGTCTAAGGATTAATCATGTACTATTGTAACATGAAAATTCTTATTCGACATATAAATTATCATTAAGAATTTTCATACGGTCATATTCAGTAAACTTGTTCTCTAACAAGCACCCACATATATGTATTTGCGTCCCACGCTAATGTTGATGGAATGCAACATTCTTGTCCAACAAGTATACATCATATGTGCAAGTCTTTTTCGGATTTATTCGATATCCCATCTCGAAACATTCAACGATCCCCATCTCGAAACTTGGAACTGTATTTAAGATCACAGCTTTCAAGGTATGTTCCATGATCACCATCTCTATGCGCAACCATACCTTATAGCTATATGTGATCTACGGATTTTATCTTAAGTGCAAATATAGGATAAATGCTTACTCTTAAAATAAAGTAATGCCTTTTAATTAATATAATTCCAATAGATTGTATTTACAAGTAGAATACGTCCAATCTGATTGGAACGCCGGGTATCCTACTCTAACAGGAACCCCATCCTTTAGCGCCATTCTGACGTGTGTTTTAGCCAACAGGACAAACAAAGTGATTGCCTTATAATTATGTTGTATTATAGTGTTATTACGATGAATTTTAAGGTGATAACAGAAAGATGAAATGCAATAAAGACCGTATACGACAAAAAAATGAGTGTCTGCATCGATGATTTTTATTAATAAGATGGGTTGCTCCCAGACCTCATTTTGTATACAAGCCTCAGAAGGCTGGGAATCTCAAGAAATCCTAGTAATATCAGGGAGAACGGGGAAAACACATAAAGGAAGAAAAATAGTATATGGTATTTCTTAATATAAAATTTGATGATAAAAGGTAAGGTCTTTAAAATATTATATCTTTGGAATGTTTGATGGCTCTTGATTGAATGCATGGTGAGACGTATTCGACAACTTGCAGCAACTTTTCCTATTTGGGAAAGTGACTTATCCTTTTAAGCTATGAGAACTGGTTTAGGGCGGCTACCCCTTTCATAGCGGCTTTGCATCGAGCTCGGTAGGGATAAGATCGGTCATGTGGAGTGATCTTCCTTCGGGTAAAAGTCGGCATGCATGCCCCATAGCTGGGAGCGAGGTCGATATATCGAGTGATGATATCTTTGAGGTTGACGTCTCTCTTCTTTGGATAAAGTACTTCTTGACATTTAGATTCAGGGGGTGTCGTGTGCTCATCTAATAATTGCGTCATAATTATTTTAAGGAGTTTGATTTTGGGTCAGAAAAAATTTGTCTAACAATAGTACGTTATGAAAGGATGTTGATTTCATATACTTTGATGACTTTATTATGTATTTAAGCTTTGTTCACTCCCTCTCAAAAAATAAAAATCATGCTTAAGAATTTTCACATTATTATAAAATATTTGAAAAATGATAATAAAAATTGTTTTTATAGTGCGAGCACTACTAGTTATACACTGTGAGAGGCTGCATGTGATGCACTAACAGATAGATGTGAATCATATGCAATCTGGGCATTCGAGACTCGAGCGACAAGCGCAGATTTTGCTGAAAACAGTAGGTACCCGGAGCAACCCGGAAGAATTGTGCGCTTGCAACTGTCTTGGACTTAGCTCATGTGTTCATAATAATAAATTCACGAAAATAAGCACAAAATGTAACAAACAACCCCCACCCCACCCCCACACACTTAACCTTGTTCTTATCTTTAAACAAATCTCATGTTTTTCAAAAACCAAAATTTGAAAAAAAACTCATGTTCAAATTTCATGTTTCACGTAGCTTTCTTAACCGCTTTTACAATTGGTTAAATTGTTAAAAAGATGAGGATTTTTATTGCACTATTTTACAACTCAAGATAGTACTATTATAGAATATGAGTCGATTCATTATAAGCATGGTGTGCTTAAGAATATTGAGGCTTCCACACTCGTTGAATTATGCTAGAAATTATTAGAGAATGGTAGATCGAAATATGATATGTTAATTACTAGATTGATCCATCGTACCACTTTCTACTACTTCAACCAAATGAGCTTTTTCAGCCATGAACTATGTGAAGACAACACATTGTAATAAGATTGAGGATAATTTCACGAAGATTATTTGATGTTATTCATCGAACGGGAGTTGACTAATAGTATAAGTATAGAACCAATTCTTGATTAATTTTACTTTGTAAAAGCTCGTCGAACATCTACTCTTAATTTTTAGATCCATCTCTATCTTTAACCATTACATTTTCATCTTACGATCTCAAATATTTTTTTAAAAAACAATCTTTAATTTTCTATCATTTAGAGGAGACATTTTTTTTTTCTTTTCTTTTTTTATTGACAATTTCTATATCTAATGAAACTCTCTCTCTCTCTCTCTCATCCCTTGTCCATCCATTTAGGTAGTATGACATCTCCTATTTTAACTCTCCATCTCAAACATCTTATTTTATATCTTTTCAATATTTGACTCCCGCCGGAGCCGCCCACATCTTTCTTCTTCACACACTCATCCAAACAAACAAATTTTAAACCATATATATATATATATGTACATTAATCAAATCAATCAGCCATGCAACCCCCCACCACCAACACCCATGCATTAATCAACACCAAAATCACCACCCCTAAAAGACCAAATAACTCCACCTCCGGCCACCACCACCGACCCCATGGCACCACAACCCAGGCTTGCGCTGCTTGCAAGTACCAACGGCGCAAGTGCGCGGCCGACTGTATCCTAGCCCCTTACTTTCCCCACGATCGCCAGCGCCAATTTCTCAATGCCCACCGCCTTTTCGGAGTTAGCAACATTGTCAAGATCGTCCGCCACCTCGACCCAGCCGCCCGCCACCACGCCATGCGAACAATCATTTTTGAGTCTGATGCCCGAGCCGCCGATCCCGTTGGCGGCTGCCACCACATCATCCGCCACCTCGAGTATCAACTTTTCCTTGCCCGCTCTGAGCTTGACCTAATTCTCCACCACCTTACCTTTTGTCGTGCCGCCACACTCGGCCATCACCCACACGACGATGATCCACCCGACGTGAACTCTTCGTGCATCCATGCTCGTAATAATAATAATAATAATATTGGTGGGGATGAGCTGAATGAGGAGTGTCACAATAATCGAGTGAGGGGTCTATCGACAGAGGATTGCCAGCAGATGAGGTGTATTCTCGATCACCTATCGGTCACGGATGATATCAAGTTTGATGATCATACAGACATTCTCACAAGGTTAGTTTTTGTGGTCTTGATATAGAACCAAAGGCTAGCATTCTAACATATATTCATTCACAAATAGAGTGTTAATGCATGTACTAAAAAAAAAAAAAGATTTATCAAGGTCAAGTTGTCTCACAAGCCATGATTTGAAATAGAGCGAGTAATGATTGATTTAACCGCATAGCTGAACATTTGCTCATAGTTAAGAGTTAAGACCATAAGTTTGTGTAAAGCACCTAGTTAAGGCCTGTTTTATTTCAAAAGTCCTATTTCTAGCTCATAATGTATTTACCTTGAAGAGAGACAACTAGCTCAGATTCACCATTCTCGAAAGGGCATGCAGAATATTCATGATTCACTACACCTACCATTTTCGGGTGATTGAATGTATCTAATTTGTAATTTTGCGATCCCTTTTATTACAACGATTTCACCAAACCACTTTCGGTTTGTGGATTTCTGATACCACGCATGTGATTATTGTATGCAACAAGATTAGTAATATATAGATGCGGAAATATCTTTCTCAATAGGCAATTATACAATAAATTGATTTTCTAAGGTGACGGGAATGATAGATAGTTGTAGAGATATTATTATCTGGTGAAGAGTGAATGCGTTTGGAGTTACTAGAAAAAGCATTTGGAGATGTGTTTGAAAATCAAGTCCTTTTTCAAGAGTTTATTTGTGAAGTACACAATAGTGACAAAAGTATCGCACCAGTGTTTTGTGGACAAGTTGGAATGAATGGAATGATAAACCAACATTGATAATATGTCTGATTTCTCTTAGAGCTTGCTTGGATACAAGGAATCTAGAAAAATAAAAGATCTTATATCTAACAAGCTCTTAGAAATTTGTTAGACATGTTAGACACACATGTTAGATATTTTAATTACACATGCACACCCTTTTCACGTGTTGGTTTGTTGTGGCAACGGCTACAGCCGACCAACTTTTCTTTTTGGCATTTTGTGAAGTTTGTTATGTCCTTTTGTTCTCTAGTTAGCTAGCCTAGTGTGACGCTCATCATTGAGCAATTGTATCCTCTAGATTATTCTGGTTGGCTATATATATATACACACACATTGTAACAGAATTTCATTATCATCAATTATTATTAAAAGTTTAAGCACAGACCCTAGCCTCCTTGTTCTATCTTAATCTGTTATCTTTCCTTTGCATTAAATATGATCTTGTTTGTGTCCAACATGGTATTAGAGTAGGGACAACTTGCTTTGGTCCACTGCAGCTCGAACTATGAAAACCAACTCCTCCTAAGCCATTAACAGCAACACACCTCACATCTCACAACTTGTACCTCTTCACAATCAGCTCATAACCATCAAGCATTATGATGAGAACCATCTGCTATGGAGATAGCAACGGCTCACCATGGTGATAGGCTATGGCTTAGAAAGCTTTCATGGATTAACTTTATAAGCCACCACATTGACACCAAGATAAGAGAAGGGTCTGCTGCAAGTAAATCCAGAATATGTGAGCTGGCAAAGCCAAGACCAACTGCTTGCTTCATGGTTGTTCCCCTCGTTATCAGAGTTTATCTTTACCTGGGTGATAGGTATGAACATCTCCTTTAAAATATGGAGAACACTTGAATCTTCCTTCTCTACTCGATCTAAAGCAAGGACAATGCACTACAGAATCCATCTTCAAAATCTCAAGAAGGGAAATCACAACATAAGGGGATATGTGAACAAAGTTAAGGTTTATTGTGACACCTTAGCTGCTGGTGGTCATAGCATTTCAGAACAAGACCAAATCACGCACATCTTAGGTTGATTAAGATCAATATATGGCGCAGTTGTAGTGAGTATCAATAAAAGACCAGAAAGCCTCACTATGGTTAATGTTATGTCTCTTTTGCTCAACTATAAGAGTAGGTTGGAAGCAGTAGCAGATGTTGCAGAAAGCATCAACCTACCTAATTCAAATATGGCATTTCAAACCAACAAACCAACTCACAACTTTATTCAATAAGAGGAAGAGGTGCAAGAGAAAGAGGATGAAGAAACTCACAATACATGATTCAGTGCCAAATTTATGGTTACACCAATCACACGGCTGACAAGTGTTATAATAGGTTTAATCCTGACTTTGTGTACAACACCAAACCAAATAAATTTCAATGACAAAAGGAGTATTTGTCAATCCTCATCCATGTTTGCAACAGGAAACAGTCTGAGTGAAAGTGAATGGTTTCCAGATTCTGGTTCCTGTCATCACAACACTAATGATATCTTAAATATGAGAGTTGCTCCATATTACAATGGAAACAACAAGCTCCTAATTGACAATGGCTGCCCTAAACATCTCTCATGTTGGTAAAGCACTTCTCACAAATTCACATCACACTTTTAACTTGAAAAACCTCTTACATGATCCTAAAATTGCAAACAATATCCATAGAGTTGCTCAATTTTCCAAGGACAACAATGTTTTCTTTGAATTCTTTCCCACTTTTTTCAATGTGAAGGATCAACTCACAGGAACACCACTTCTCAAAGGGACTCTTAAAGAGAAAAATGTTGGCACCTAAGAATTTTGTTCCTCAGCCTATGAATCAAGGGAAGAATGATTTCAAGAAGTTCAGTTATTTTGCTAGCTCAAGTTAGGATCTAGAGTTATGGCATAAGATGTTAGGACAACCTTCATTTTGATGTCACCAAGAAGGCACTTGATTCTTATAACCAACCTTATGCTATTAATATATATACTCTTTGTTCAAATTGCATTCAAGCAAGGGTGTCCTAACCTCTTATGCTATTAATAAATATACTCTTTGTTCAAATAGCATTCAAGCTAAGTCTCAAGTTTTTCCTTTTCATACACCTCTTCATAGCACCAAGAAACCTCTTGAAATCATACATACTGATCTCTGGGGTTCTGCTCCTACTAAATCCAACTCATGAGCCTCTTACTATGTAGCCTTTGTGGATGACTACCAAATTTACTTGGTTTTACTTTCTTGAACAGAAATCAGACACCTATAAAGCTTTTATTCACTTTTAAAATTTAGTTGAAAATCAGCTTAATTAGAATATCAAAATTTTCAAAGTGATGGTGGAACAGAATTCAAACCTTTGTCCCTCATGTTTTTTGAAAAAAAAAAAAAATAGTCTATAGAGTCCCTTGTCCTCATACCCCTTAATAAAAATGTTTTGTTGAAAGAAAACATAGAAAAATCATTGAGATTACCCTTAGCATGATGTCTTCTTCTAATGTTCCAAAAATATTATGGGAACAAACCTTTTCAACAGCCATATATCTCATCACGAGGATCCCTAATAAGACAATTTTTTACCAATCACCTTATCATAGACTCTATGGTTCTATTCTCAGTTATAAGCATCGTAAAGTGTTTGGTTGTCTACGTTTTCTTCATCGTAGACCATACATTAAGGATAAGTTCGATGTAAGGTTAACACCTGGTGTGTTTTTGGATTATAATTCTCATTACAAGGGGTACAAGGTTTTACTTCAGAATGGAAAGATTACCATTTCTAGAAATATGGTGTTTAACGAAGTATTCTTTCCTTTTAAATATTTTGTTAATTCAAGGCAAGTTGAGCAACAAATGATGTTTCTAACTTTCATATTTCTGCTCTTTTTCATTTCATACAACCTCACATACATGATTCACATACTCATCATACTCCCAACTCACCACATGTTTCTTCACCTATATCTTCACCACCACATCAGATAATGTACTTAGTACTTCACCTATTACATCATCACACACAGAACATGTCACTACCAACATTTGAGATTCTAGTCCACATGAGGCTCAACCAGACACTCCACTAATGGATCAGTCTCTTCACCATATAATGACTAAGTCCAAAAGAGGGATTTTCAAGTCCAAAGTGTATTCTTCTTCTTTTTTGACCAATGCAGAACCTTCAAACATCATAGAGGTTCTTTTAACACCTCATTGGGAATCAATAATGGGGATAGAATACTAGGCTCTAATCAAGAATCAAACCTGGTTAGTTGTGCCTCTAACACTAGACATGAGACCTACAAGGTGCAGATTGTTATTTAAGATTAAGAACAATGTTGATGGCACAGTCTCAAGGTATAAGGTTAGACTCGTAGACAAAGGCTATACTCAGATGGCTAGGATATATTTTCAGTAAGTCCTCAGCCCAGTATCAAGCTAGTGACCATGAAATGGATTCTTTTATTTCATTGTCAAAGGGTTGGAGAATCAAGCAACTTGATGTAGATAATGCTTTCTTAAATGGAGAGTTAGATACCTCCACTAGGTTTTGGAACACATAAGGGCCACGGTTTTGCCTAAAAAGTCAACAAAGCCCTTTATAGCCTTAAGCTAGCCTCCAAGACATTGTTTGATAAGCTCACTCAAGTTCTTCTTGCCCTTGGCTTTTGATAATCCAAACTGGAAGGCAACTATGGAGCAAGAATATAATGCTCTACTTAAAAATGGGACAAGGTCACTAGTTTCACGACCTTAGGTGTACAAGTCAGAGACAAATGATGATGGCTCTATCTCCAGGTACAAAGCAAGATTGGTAGCTAGGGGTTTTTCTCAAACTTTTGGATTGAGTATGATGAGACTTGTAGTCCAGTCTATGCCAACAACAATCATAATGGTTTTGTCTATAGATTTATCAAGGTTATGGTTCATTAGAAAACTTAAATTTGATAATGCATTTCTAAATGATCAGCTTGAAAATGAAGTATATGTGGAGCATCCACCTCGTGTTGAAAAAGGAAATTCAAAGGGGATTGTTTTTAAACTAAACAAAGAAATTATAACCTTAAACAGACATCAAAGGAATAGTATACAACCCTAAAAGAAACCTTATGCAGTTCTGGTTTCACTTCTTCCGCGGCCAACAATTCATTGTTTTTCACGATTTTAGCCACATCTTATATGCTATTGTTGGTTTATGTGGATGATGTTATAGTAACAATGGATGATAATATAGATATTTAGGACTTCATTTGTAAATTGAATAAAGTCTTCTCTTGAAGGATATGAGAGAGATACATTTGTTTTTAGGAATTGAGATCAATAAGACAACTACAAGGATTCATTTGAAGCAAGCGAGTTATATTTACAAACTCTTAACAAGTCTTAATATGCATGATGCCAAGGTACTGAGCAAACCTATGGTCACATCCCCCATTTTGTCTAAGCATGATGCCGAAAGTCTTCACAATCCTACATTGTATAAGAGAATTGTTGCAGCCTTACAATATATATTCATCACAAGGCCTTCAGTGTGCATAAGATAAGCCTATTTATGCATGATCCTAAGGATACTCATTGAAGAGATGTTAAGAGGATTTTGTGGTACTTGTTTGGTACTGTTGATTTTGGTCTAAACTTTACCCCATTAGTTCACACAATAATCTCACTCTTTTCACAAGCTCAGATTGGGGTGGAGACTTGGATAATGCAAAATCTGTTCTTCTTTTTGTGTATACATGAGAACTAGTTTTATATCGTAGTTTTTTATGAAGCAACTAACAATCTCTCATTGAAGCGCAAAAGCAGAATATAGAAGCAGTGCACATGCTCAATGTGAACTGAATTGGATATGGTATATCATAAGAGAATTGAAGATGACACCTCAACAAGTTCCTATTGTGTGGTCAGATAACTTAGGAGTTGTGCATTTATCTTTGAATCCAGTGCATCTTTCCAATACCAAGCATGTTGAGATAGACATCCATTAAGAAGGTTGAAGTTGCTATCTTGCATATCCCTGGCATAGCACAAACTGCAGATATCCTTACAAAGCCATTTTCTAGGTAATCCTTTACTCGATTTGGATATTAACTTCACATCTGTCCATTTTTCTCGTTTGAATTGAGGGGGCATGATAAAGGAGTGAGATCATATATTCCCTACCTTGTTGAACACAATGAAAGGCCACACGCTGTTCGTGCAAAGCTGGCACTAGAGACGAGTCTGTTATGTCCTTTTGTCTTTTAGTTTAGTTGTATCCTAGCCTAGTCATTTTTCTAGCCGTTTTGTGATGCTTATCCATTGACATTCTCTCATTCTTTCTCCAGTCATAGTGCGCCACCTACACTAGGATCTAGAATACTCTATTGTGTAGCATATAGAACTGCTAATATGTAACGTCACTATTCGCGATCATTAATAAGTATTCAGCTGCAAATGATTGACCAACATTGTTTCTTGCCTTCAACAAAAAGGTTCTTTTTGTTTATCTGACACTTGTTAACTGATTTTCAGATAACTATTTGAAATAATTAAAGGAAATGATAGGCTTTTTTAATTAAAATTTCCAGCTTGACTTTTCATTTGACTCTATACTTGAGTGGTTAGATTTGCAGATGGAATTAACCTTTCAAAATTAATTTGTCTAGAACTTGTTTCCAGTTCCAGAAGCAGCCAACATATCATAACAAGACTTATTTTTTCCTAAATAAACTCTTATGCACGTGACCCTTTCTTGAGTGTTTGAAGTTGTAACTTATATAGCATTAAAATATAACAAGAAAAGACCCATGCATCTTTATTTCTTGGAAATTAGTTGATAGAAATCAGTGTCACTTGGTTAAAAATGTGCATTGAATTGGCATGACATCAAACAAGTAAACCTGATGACATGAAAATCTTGACACCTCACAAATGTAAATATGATTTTTGTTTTTGTTATTTGTCTAGCAAATTTATTATTTTATCTTCACTACAAGGAGTCCAGCCAAAATTTGCAAATTATAATTTTTGTTACTAAGATATATAAGATTAGGAATTGCTTTGGACGAAGAAAATGATCTATATCCATGTTCTTTAATTCTATTATACATCAATATTGGTAATATATAGTTTAGTCATTTCATATAAATTTATTTACAACCGCAGCAGCAATGACGTTTTGACTAGAGAAAACGAGACATTCAAGGATGATGATGATGATGCCGATAGGCCCTTCTCGTACATACACGATCAGCATGATCTAAAAGCTGCAACCACATTCTTCACCCTCGCAAACTGTGATATTTGACATTTTCATAGAATAAATTTTATGGAGACTATAGTTAGCCATTATGTATATTATGTACGGTTTTTGTTTCTCTTTCGGATTAGTTTGTATTTATTCTGTTGTAAAACGTAGTAAGCAAATTGAGCTAAAAACTGCATGTTTGGTGCCCCTTGCCAAATACTGAAGGAAAAAAAAAATTATATAGATAGTTGAACGTATAAGGAAAACCATTGATTCAAGCCACATCAGCAATGACATAGATGAAGAACATAAAAAATGTATGCTTATTAGAAACAATATAAAATTATCTTGTATAAAGAACATAAAAATGTATGTTTAAAATATTAAAAATGAGAGAATATTTACATACTATATCTATAAAATAAATATTGAGATTATACGAAAAATTTTGACGCTACTTCTGTGTGAAATTATAAAATATTTCAAAATAGTTTTTTTTTTTTTAAAGATTATTGCAAACAGAATATAACAATTTTCCTCTGGTGCCTTCAACTAGTCTCCATATTGACCTTCCTTGACAGCGTTGCTTTTTATGTCCTCCAATCTTTTAGGACACCCTCTATCCAAAGAACCAATCAGCCCACAGTAGTGACACAAGTTCATAAGTTTTTCATACATGAATTTGACTGTAATTATTTGTTCACCAAGTCTAATACTGGCACACTTGGGGAGAGGTTGATCCAGGTTTATAGTCACCAGCAATCTGATGATACTTCCACCATGATTTCCAGAGCTAACAAGAACTAACCCCTACTTCAGTACTGAGCCAGTTGAGGGGAATGTTTAACACCTGAACCCATAGATTGAGATGCTTAAAACAAGGATGGGTGCTGGAGATTCCTTCTTGCCATTCTGATAATACCAGATATTGGTTTTCAAAACTCCAGTGTATGCCACTGACCACCTTTTTTCATGTCGTCTTTGCTCTGGAAGATGAATTGAAAGAAGTTATGCCCTAGCTCTTTGACTTCCATAGACTGGCTAAGCTTCCAAATTTGACTCATAGCACGTTTGAGTCCAATCCAGCTCGCTTTCCTATCACCTACCATTTTGCCAAAAAGGCTTCTGTGACATTTATCAGATATCATCGTCAGCGATGTCTATGATGGTCACTTCTCGATCAGATAGAGAAAAGTTCTGCATTCTTTTAGAGAGATCATCATCAGTACTGGCCTGGATCGGGTCTTCCATCTTTGATGTAAAAAACCCCAAATCGCAATTAGAAAAGGAACCTTGCAAACCCTAAATGATAAACCGATAAGAGATTAGAAGATAGTGATTGAGAGGAAGATCAATGAGAAAATCCAACGCAATTGGAACATCAGATGATCAATGAGGGATGAGAATTTCGAGAAATTGGAGAAATTTGAGCGCTCCCAAACGAGAGAATCGGTGAGCTCCCAAACGAGAGAATTTTGACTTTACGAAGAGATTGTTGGAAAAATGAATCATTCTCACACATCATATAAATTTTAATTTTACTATTTATTTATTCATATAATTTTAACTATTCATTACTTCCGACCGCACCTCTGCTTTATATCACATCAACTTTTATCACTATATGTTAAATATTATTTAAATACCAACTCAGAATTTAATTTCAACCAAACTCACTCAACTTTTTTTTCAAAATTAACTCATTTTATACAATAAGTTTTATTAAATTCAAAATGTCTTACATACAATCCAGCCTTAAAGCTCGAGTAACTCACCTTATATAATTAAAAAAATATATAAAATGCATAATAATATAATAAGCAAGAATCAAAATTCATAACAATCATATTTGCCAAAATCAACTTAAAAAAAAGCCAACAAATAAAATCAAGTCCCGCAGAATGAAAAAAAACGAAACCAAAAATTAAAAAAAAAAAATAAGTAAAAAGAATTTTCGTTTTAAAAAATAATAAAAATAAAATCCCGCATGAATTATATCTTCAAAGTGTCCATCTGATAATCTTAATTATCGACTCAACCTTGCACTTCTCCTTTGAAATTGTTGCAACCGACGTCGTTTTACCATTGGGGATCGACACCCGAATTCCATCGCAACTAACCCTAATTTTGAGCTTCTTCGTTTTGACGTTCCCAATTTTGGCTCTCACATTCGTATCCAACTGAATTCTCATCGGTAAATTCCTTCTCCGAATGCTGGATCTCAGAGGCGAAATGTCGGTTCCGGCGCTAATCGGAATGTTCGAGTTCGGAACCACCGTTCTCAAGGTCGTCACGTTCTTCTTCCCTTGCGTGAACGCCGGAAAATCTCCGCCGCCGACGTCGACCTCGCCGGAGAGCGCCCTCACCGAGATTCGCTCGAAGAGGAAGATGATCTTGCTGTTAGTGTTGTGCGCGAGGATGGTGACGTTGAAGGCGGAGGTTACGGCGGTATCGGTGAGGTTGAATCTGGAGAGTCGGAGGGAGTCAACTGAGAACGACGGCCGTTGGGGGCGGTAGATGACGTAGAACACGGCGCCGGCGATGGCGGCGTGCAAGAGGAAGAGGAGGATCAGGAGAGTCGTCCAGAGGCAGCAGGTGCAGCAGAGGCTCCGGCGGCTGCGCCGCCTAGGCGGCGGCTGAGGCCTGTACGGCGGGCGCGTGGCCTTGTAGATCTGCGCTTTGTTCGCCGGGAAAGCTGGGTTAGCTCCGCCGTTGGCGGTGGGCTTTGATGGGTATACTCTGTCGGTCATTTGTGGAGAGAGAGAAAAAAAAAATAGTTGGCTGTGTTTAGAGTGAGAATGACAGATAACAAAAAGCTTTTGGAAGAATATTTGAAGAGAGAGTATGAGAATTGAGAGGGCAACTGCTTAACCAATGCCTGCTACAACCATAGGGACTGTTTTTAGTATAATATTAATTAATTCCTCTTTCAAATAAAATAATCATAAATTACAAAATAAATTTGATGTATGACTGACGGNAATCTGTGGCCAAAAATAAAAAAAAAAAAAGTGGTGAAAATCAATCAAACACACGGATTTTGAAAATCCGTGTTTCTAATTAAATTTTTATTAGAAACACGGATTTTCATAATCCGTGTTTATTTTTTATTTTTTATTTTTATTATTTTTTTTCGGTCAAATTTAATAATAATAATAAATCTAATTTATAACACGGATTTTGGAAATCCGTGTTTAACGGGAAAAAAATAAAAACGATTAAAACGGATTTTGAAAAATTCATGTTTATCTTAAAAAACGATAAAAATGAATTTTGAAAATCCGTGTTTAGGTTGATATAACCCCAACAGCAAACCCCCAGACCACTGCGCCTGCGAATTTTGTTTCACAAACATATTTTTGTGTCTTTTGTTCGATTTTCGGCGAATTGAAGCTCCATTTAAAAAAAATATATATTTTTTGTTGAAGCTCCATTACAAAAAAAAAAAATTATTTCAGGGATTTTCGGCGAACTGAAGCTCCATTAAATGAAAAAAATTTCAACCAATCATCGGAGAAGAGGTTAGTTTTTATTTTAATGTAATGTAATATTATTTTTTTGTTGTTTATGAATGTTTAAGATATATATTTGGTTGATTGAGTATTGTTTATAAAATCTTGAATGTTGGTTTAATAGTTGTGTTCAATGGTTATAATTTGTTATTTGCTATTGTTTAGAAAATCTTGAATGTTGGTTTAATGTATGTTAAATATTTATCCGAATTGTTTATGAATTTAATGTTATTGTTGGAAATGTGTTTTAAATGTATATTGATAAAATAATAGTTGAAATTTTCTCGGGTGTTTGATTAGTCATTTTAAAGAGAAAATTGTAAATTTGGTCCCAAAACTTTTGTTGTTTCCCACATTTGGTCCCAGACACGCCAATTATGGTCCTTTTTTAATTTTCGTTGCCAAAATGGTCCCACTCCGTCAAGACTTAACGGTCAACGTTTATAGCCTGGGACCAAATGTGGGAAATAGCAAAAGTTTTGGGACCAAATTTGTAATTTTCTCAAAGAGTAAGTGATAAAAATTATTTAAATTTATTTTTATTAGGAACATTTTTTTTAATTTTTTTTAGTAAATGTTAAAAAGGTATATTACCATTATTTCCTAACAATACATTTAGTTTATTTTTTAATAAATTATAAAAGATAAATATAACTAACATACAATTCTTTCACATTTTTTTTTTAACTTAAATTAAAGTTTACTTGATTTTTACATAAAATGATTATTTAATTGGGTAACTTAACAAAAGGTGTATAAAATAATTTTATTAATTAGTTCATGATAAATGAGATGCAAAAAAAAATATATGATATATTTTACTATAAATAAGTGTGAGCAAATGTCTATTTTCACTTAATTTAATGCCAAATTTTGTTTTATTATGCTTAAAATTGAAATTTTTTATGTAGATGTAATTTGCATAAATAAATAGATTTTTCAATTTATAGTTGTCAAAATCAAATTGATAAATAATAAATTATTAAAATAAAAATAGACAGTAATAAAAAAATTGTTTAGATTGGGTTTTTCTTAATTCGTATTATTTAATAAAGTTTGTAAGGAAATATATAAATTATCACATTATACTAATATTTAAAAGTGTAGACGGATTAGTATTATTGTAAGCATATTCACATTTTTTCTTATTTTGATAAATTGGACTATGTCTTTTGGTTTGCTTTATTTAATTAAAATAATATTATTTCTAAATATTCTTTAATTTAAATAATATTCAAATAATTGCTAATATTTTTTAAGTAATGACGGTAAAAATATTAGAAAATAAAATAAATACAACACAATTAGCAATTATATCGTTTACTTTTCCACCCAAAATTAAAATTTATCAACGCCTTTACTTTTCCACTCGATATTTATTTTTATAAAATTATTTTTAATATTTATTTCTCGCATAATATTCATAATAAATTAATTTTATTATGTCATTTCGGCTTTGAGTGAATGAGAGAGACTTGAAAAACTTGAAGAACTCATTTTTATTTTTTTTTTTGAAAAACTGCAAAATTGGTCCCAAAATTGCAAATT